AAAAGATGAAGACTTTTTTAGACCCGGAGTCAACAAGATATCAGAAAGATGGCAAGAAGTTGTAGCTAACGATGGGCAATTCATTGGTTAATGTACATTTAATTTTAATTTTGTAATAAGTATGTTTTTGCACGCGAAAAACGGCGGAAATTAATGCACACACCTAATATTATGGATTAGAGCACAATTCTGACGGCAAGTATTCGTAGATAGGTGCATCAGAATTTTCGAAGTTTCAAGAGCCTTTTTAGAATGCTGATGTTTGATGATTGAGATCTATTGAGTGACTGATTGATTTCAGCGAAAGCGATCAGTCAACCGGCCACACCGAAGGTCTACAGGAAAGTTGTAGCCGTGTCCAGGTAAGCCAAAAGCGTTTTCACAAATACACCCATCTCACATTGAAGGAGAGGAACTGGTGTGGGGTCTCATAAAATACATAGTGATCAGATTGTTAAATTTCGCTAAGCAGCAGTCCCATCGAGTAAGGGTAGATGAGATTGCTAAAGTCGTCTCTTGCATCAAAAAGTTGAAAGACATTTCTTCCCGTGTAAATGGCTTCGTAGGTACTAGAACGAACCTGGGGACCCCAAGTGGGCCGTATGAGATGTTGTTGGGTGACGGCTCAGATAGGACGCAGTAGGATCTAGAAGACTGGCTTCGATGGTATTCGTACTGAAGGGCGGCCGAGTTTTCACGGCATCGTATATCCTGCGTCATTCACAATGGAGCGCACACATACTAAATCGGAAAATCGAACAACCAAGGGTAATTCATGACGACAGTGAAAGCCTGCTCTCATAGTCCGCGAGCGAGCGCGCGAGCCGGCCGAGGGACTACTCGTGCGGCAGTGTCGACCAAGATTGAGTTGTAAACAAGGGGCAAGCGCCGCCCTCGGTCGCCTGCTCGCTCGCGCGCTCGCGGGCCGGACGGCGGACTACGAAAGCAGCCAAAGGGGCTTTCACCCAATTCTGAAATCGAGATCTCGTCCAAATGTCCATCCCATGCAGTTTTCGTCATGGCGTTCTCCCTTTTTCAATTCAATCCCTTTTTCATTACTTTTGATAGACATTATAGTTCACGGACCTTGTGAATTTCCTCAGTTTCTTTGTCAACGATGCACTATTCTCCACCAACGTTTCCGTTTCGTAACTTGCAATTAGGAGGGTACCTCAAAATTAACAGGAACTGTGCCTCCGAAATGAATAGCTAGGATTTGTAGGGCCCATCACGTATGTCTGAAAGATCACCAGGACTCGCAGGATATTCTGTTGATTATATTTTATTTTATGAAGTTTTTAATTCTGTTGATTATATTTTATTTTGTGAAGTTTTTACCTCTGGAGCAACACCATCACCCTATAATTTTATTTTATGATCTATACTCTTTAAATTTTATAGTAAAGGTAGAACTTTCAGTAAGGTCGGTTCATTCACGGACCACAAGCCATCTGGCGGTAATGTGCAAATATTTTCTGAGACTAGGACTTACAAAGTACAACCAAAGGTCGGGTCTCTTAACAACGTCACTCATACACCAGGTACTTCTACATCTTCTGTATAACAGCGACATTACCTACAGTATCGTTTTTACAGGTGGTGGGAACGTGAAAATCCCCAATATTAAATTGGACTTCAAGGAAAAAGCGAAACCAAAAATTGATGCCAAGTCTGAATACGTGCCACCAGTACCGGAAAAAAAGGTAATTATGCCGCTTGTAAATTGTCATTACGTACTGCCATGGAACGGCTTCTCGAATGTTTGTGAACAACGTGATTTTCAGATACTTTCCCAAAAGTTGGTCTGGAATGCTCAGTCAAAGGTTGGCTCGCTGGACAACGTCAAACACAAACCTGCAGGTGGTAATGTACAGGTAAGTCTCTGCCTCCCGTATAGGTAGGTACCGTATACGACCCTGCTTTGCTTTCGCGAACAGGGCGAGCTCTGGTCTCTCTGGAGCCATCATCACAGCAGCTACACTCTGTGCCAATGTATCTGCCAGCACATAGCAAGCTTTTTTGCTGTTCGCGTTTAGATTCTCGACCAGAAACTGGAATGGCATGCTGCCAGCAAAGTCGGTTCCATGGATAATATTAAGCACAAACCTGGCGGTGGAAATGTGCAGGTCATTCGCCATTATTCTGCAAAGAACATTGGCTATAGAATGGACACTGAGAAAAAAGTTGTACAATCGATTTATACTGCTAGAGTTGAGGCGTACGGTAGAAATGGAGCTCGCGGACGGTAACATACCGTATAACTGCTACGTGAAAATCAGGAGTCTCCAGTTTTGGAATCCTCGACCTTCCTTTCGAATTAGAGGGCCAGTTGCCAAATAAGAAGTTTGAAAGACACTGCACTTGGCAGAGCCAGATGCAAAGTTCTGTTTGACCCTGGTGGCCAATAATGGCTGCTTAGAAGGAATTGAGAGGTAGAAAACAAGTAAACAAAGAACCTCGTCAGTACACTCTTGATTCATTATAGAATGGACGAGTTTCCCGCGCTCGTACGAGTTTTCGTGACTGCTCCGGTGTGGTATAAATCGATTGTCAACAACTATTACTGTATCACTTATGGAGCATTTGTAAACGCTGGCACTTGATGTTGTGGCTACCGTATCCACTGCACCATTTAGATATTCGACGAACGGATACAGTACATATCTTCGACTCCGAATCACCACAGATCGAATAGCAGCTCGTTAAATAATCAATCGCGTACGGCTTCTCGTACACAAATCAATCTTCTCGACTTATGACATTACCGTACTCATCTCGTCGTCGTCGTATGATCTCCTCTACATATACATATTATGATGCTCTGAACGCTTTCTGGTATGCTTTTATGTGTTCTTGTGTTTTCACTTTCGCTTTTTTTCTAATCTAGCTTTTATTTAGCTTTGCTATCGCCACTGTAGTCAATCGAAGCGATGAATTTAGGCACAGCCTTGAAAAAATGGTTTTAGAGAGTTTCCCTCTAGGGCCCCTGAATTTGTGGCCCCTAAGGATAGTGCATGGTCCTGGACAGGACGTAGTAAGGGCTCCATTAAAGACGTGGCCGACGTACCTACCCAAAAGCGGCCGTGTTTCAATGGCTTTATAGAGGCTGCACCATTCACAATGGGGCACATTTATTGAAAATTTAAAGATTGTCAGTGAGCAACACCATTGGACATACGACAGCAAAAATCAACAACAACAATCTCACAATAGTAATATGAAAACGTTAGTAGAGAATAGAGAGAATATTTATAGCGAATACTATCGGCCGCTAACGTTAAAAAAGAATTTTGGAGATTTCATGCAGTCCCCACCATGCACTCACCAGTAGAATACAATTTTTGGCATTTTTACTTTTGCTTACTGTAGCCAGCTCTTTACACAATTCACGCGAGTCACCCTTCATGCCGCTTCTGTCATCATCACCACAGCTCTTTATTTATACTACTTTTCTGGAGCCTTACACGCTCAGAATCCGCAGAATTTCGCGCTTCGTTCGCCACCTTTGCACCATTCCGCACCATCACTTCCATTGTTTTACTTGAACCAGTAGGTCTCAGAATTGTCGGGAACTGCTTATTTAGGGTGAAAGATCAAATAATTCCTGGAACTTCAAAATCACAGTCGTTTCACAGCTTTTATTATTTGTCTTTGGCTCTTTTTGATAGAACTCTTATTTCAACTATATGCAGGAGCCTTTAGGAGGAGTTCTCCTAAAATTTTCAAAAGTATTATTGGTATCAGTATATTTTCTAGCTGGTCCATTAAGTCGAAATTTGAGAAACATTTTAGCGACGTATCAGTTCTAACAACATGTGGTCAAGTAACGGTGCTGTTGGATCGTCGCTGATGGGGTTACCGATGCCTGGCGCCGTCGATCCGCTCACCGCCGAGCAAATTATGGGTCATCGTAGGTGAGGCAAGAAGAGGCGTCGGCATCTCTTTGTTTCGCTAAGATTCTTTTATATATACGTATTGTCATTTGGATGTTTATTTTTGCTCCGTCATATTGCTATATCATAGGTTTGTACGATTGTGTTGTGTTCAGCAGTAAAAGCCTCGAATCTGGTCAAATTTTCTGTATCATCCATCGTTAGATCAATCTTCAACAGGATCAACACTCCCAAACTTAAAAACCTCCCACAACTCATTGATCCTATCTCTAATATTCGCTGAGTAATGTTGTTAGCGCGAGTTAGGATTAGATTTCACTTAGGCCCATACCGTCATTTCTCTGAGAGCCCTGGCCTTTCCAAACTTGGGTACACCGTATAACCCACACAATTTGACTCATTTGTCGGCACAATAGCTTCGACATGCTCACTCGCTCAAGCCTAGAAACTGCTCATCATACATTGGAAAGATGTTTCGTGAAGACCAGTCGATGTGAGCAGTGGCACCAAGTCAAGGTTTGCGAAGCTCAAACTTTAGGGAGAGATGGCGTTTGAAAGATCCACTTCAATACATGACCCTCTCGAAGCACCCACCGCAGGGCCGGTCACCTACTTCACCGAAAGGATGACACTGGAGTCTTCGAGTTGCAGAGAGGCATCCTGGAAACAGAAAAGACGTGGGGATCAGCGATGACTCAGTAGACCTCTCAGTTTCCCAAATATTTCAGACGAAGCGGCTCTAAGTGGTTTCAAGACGAGAAAATTAGGGCGATATGGATGAGCTGTAGGTCTTTCCACATGCGGAAATGTTGTCATAGAGGCTCGAATGAGCCCTGCTGTCAGACATATCATCGCCCGTTGTCCAGATGTTGGCCCCAAATTTTGGCCACAGGCGTAAGAGCTTCTTTTTCTCAGCGAGAAGTTTTGCTACGTTTCTTTATTTGAACATCATACTATACAGGAATTTTGCACAATTTCGCGTCGCCTCCTCCTTCGTGGGCTTTACACTTGAATACTGTAGGCTTTATGTTGAAAAACTGTTCCGGAACCACTGGATTTTGCTGTTGAGCAGCTTCTTCTCAAGGAGTGGCAGTGATTCGTGGGTGCTTATCAGGCGCTCCCTTCGAGCAACTTCAACTGACCTGAGCTTTGAAACATATAGGGCGCAGATCGATGAAGCAACATCGGAATGCTTCAGAGCAAGGTGAAATTCCTGTGCCGTGGATGGTTCTTAGAAGTTTCCAGAGATAGAATCAAAGTCAGCCGTGCCATATCCGAAGCATGACTTATGGCTCCCAACGTTTTAGGCTCACTATCGAACTCTGTATGGTATGTTGACAAATACCTTCTCCAATCGGCTCGATAAAGGTACTCACTCGAATGTGTGTATCTTACCCAAATGATGTATGACGTTTTGATGCTTTGAACGACGATCGTTGGTCACGGGAGGCGACTGAAACACACTCCCACCTTTCTCAACGCCAGAACAAATATAAACAACCGGTGACGCTCATATTGCTACCTACTCAGCGAGAGCGGACAACTTTCAAAATCCATCTAAATGGCCTTCTATAGCCCTCAAAAGCTCGGTAAACCTCGTTATTGACGATATCTTAATTTGGCATTCTGTTTCTTGATTCTCCGAATGAGTGGAGAAAAGGCATTCAATCCCATAAGCCAGGATCAGCCATGTCTCTTTGAATAAAGGCAGGGGGTCGTAGTCATTCGTTATGGGATGGAAAGGTCAGAAGCACCAGATCAGCACCGAATGAAAAAGTGCCATACCAGCCTCCCTAAAAGGGGCCGTTTAAAAAGGTACAATGCGAGTTCTACTCTAGTGCACTGGCGGCTTGTTGAAACGTTGTCTTTCTCATTCATATCTATGCACTGATTACATGAATACATGTAAAGCTCAAAAAAATCCCAATCAGAATGGTTGGCAACGATTTTTACTGATACGACTAGGAGCACAGTGCTGCTGGCTGTCAAGGTTTCTCGATGGATTCTCGTACAGCGTATGAAAGTATCGTCATTTTGAAAGAGTTAGAAAGGTTTGTACTGAATCCACCCAGTTGGAAAGTGGCAGTGAAGTTTCCTATCAGGAAAACTTCGCGGAAAAGGGCTTCTCTGAGATATCGGATATTGAGCTCTGGCATTCTAGCTAGTTCAATATGCACTAGCATCAATAACAGGGATGTCTTTTCTTTTTCCTAGGAAGATCAGAGATCAGCCACATGGTGGCATACCACCCTAAGGGGCAAGGGGAGCAAGTATGAACTGTGCGAAATTATTTGGGCAGCGAATTCCACCCAGCGGGAGCAGCGCTAGCAGAGATATTTAGCTGTCAAGATACGCACTGTTGCTAGAGTTGCTTTGGGTGTGCCGTTCGAAAGTATTTGTCAACATACCTTACGTCCCATTCATCATTACTGGCCGGCATCAGTCTGATAAGGAAATGAATCAGTCACTTCGACCCTAAAATGAAGCATAGCTATCAGTATTGNNTTTGGGTGTGCCGTTCGAAAGTATTTGTCAACATACCTTACGTCCCTTTCATCATTACTGGCCGGCATCAGTCTGATAAGGAAATGAATCAGTCACTTCGACCCTAAAATGAAGCATAGCTATCAGTATTGACGATTCACGATAATTGGCAAAGTGGTTAAGAAATCGACCATGAAATAGAGAGCGCTATATACTCAAACTGCTGTTCGGACACAGGCTAAGGGCTATTTCGAATAGAATACGGTCAAACCTTTTTGTTCTAGATTGGAAACTTTGAAGAGCTGGTTGGCCACGGTCTTCTTTGGAACTGGTCCAATGTTACTCATTTATTAACGTCCAATGGTTTGCGAGGCTCAATTCCTCTTCACTTCGAAAGCTAGATATCCCAAGAACGTCTCCATTACAGAGCGAGAATGACAGGGTGATGTACACCGGAAGACTGTGAAGCAGCCCAGTTGCTGAGCCTTTGTCAAATCGATACAAAAGACACGAATTTATTATATTATTTTTAAAGAAAGCATAAAAGGATAAAGCCCCTGAGCGAGTCTCATTCGCGTCCAGAAAATGAGCTATGCATTCGACTTCCGTTCAGAATCGGAAAGACGTAGTGAATGTATGCCTTCCTTTACAACGAGTTGCTGTTGGCCAGCCGATGTATAAGTCACTGCATTTATNGAAGACTGTGAAGCAGCCCAGTTGCTGAGCCTTTGTCAAATCAATACAAGAGACACTTACGAACTTATTATATTATTTTTAAAGAAAGCATAAAAGGATAAAGCCCCTGAGCGAGTCTCATTCGCGTCCAGAAAATGAGCCATGCATTCGACTTCCGTTCAGAATCGGAAAGACGTATTGAATGTATGCGCGGCCTATACAATGAATTGCTGTGAGCTGTATAAACCACTGCATTTATCCTTCCACACGAGTATGGTACCAATTGACCGATCTCGGAGGGATGGAAGACTCAGTTGTCTTGGGCGGCTATCGATCAGAGATTCGAACCCGTGACCATACGTTTGTGATGGTGCACTACACCACCTCCTTCCATGGCCTACTGCAATGCTCCAATGCTGCACAACACAAAGATCTGGTATATCCTTTCCGAAAGCCTGCTCCTTGGCCTCTAAGAAGTTGGGACTCTATAGTTTTTGCCTTTACACGCGGTTAGACATAGCTCACAATCAAGGTGTGGGCAGATTGAAGAGCTAACGAGTACCGACCTCACACTGAACCGGTAACCTACACCCTGTATGTTTATTCAGACACTCAATCCAGCAGGTAATGGTCAAGCTTAACAATGTGGATGGGAGGAGTTAGTGTAGGGCAGGTGGCAGGTATAACACACGCATGGCCATGGATTCGAATCTTAGATGGATATCGGCCTGGGCCAACGAGTACCCCAAGGCTCGCTGAATTATTACCAAACTGGTCTGGGAAGATGAAAGCACTGACTTGCACAGCGGTTGGCCATCGCAACTCATTGTATGGCCACATACACATTCAATACTCCACAACGATTCTCAATAGAAGTCGAATGCGGGGTGCATCCCTAGACAGAACTGATTTACGCCAAAAGACTTCACCCCTCATCCTTAGTAAAGTTGATAATTCCATCGCTTGTGCCCGATCGTGGGAATGTCATCCAAAGTCTACAGCTTTGTGTACGTAGCTGTTCCACGCACACATTCGGCAAAACTTCCGATTATCGATTACCGCCAAGTAGCGGAGTCACGGACTGTAGCGAAAATGATATTGTAGTCGAAATCAACATACGGGAGATGAGCTGTGGACCTGATAATAACGAATAGACTCTATCTCTTTGTTGTGCTCCTGTACTGACTGCAAATGGATCGGCCTAGATCGCGGCCTCTTCAGCGAGTATCCTGAGTGAATAGGATTATCACAGAATAGGTCGACCTCGGCCGATCCATCTGCACGGCACTCTCATGAACAGTGTCCATTTATGTAAATTACAAACCAGGCCGCTCTGAATATGTCTCGATGAGTATGAGAAAGTTTAAAAACCCCGAAAATTTGGCCGGCCTGTAGACTCGTGTGGTACTGAATATTCTCATGGGTGAAATTGAAAAGTATCGGTAATCCCCTGGCATAAAGAAGAACATCAACGAGCTCGGCATACAGGTGGTCAACACTCGGAACACGAGGCAATGACAAATTGCTCAACGTTCGGCAACAAATCACAGGACACCTGTGATCAGGGCCCGTTGCAAGGGTATTTTGAGAAAACACGCGACAGATTGAAGGCACATTTCAAGATAAGGCTGGTTTCTGGAGCCCCCTCTATGATGAACCTGTGGCCCTCAAGGATGGCAAGTGAGACATTGGCAGGTTGCAACGACACTACAAGGCGTTATAAGGATTCTAAACTCAGCCTGACCGACGTGCACACCCAAAAGTGGCCGTGTTATAACGGCCTTGCTAAGACCGTAACATTCACAATGAAGCATTAGGACGCCGACGAATAGTACGCTCAACTGAGAGTCACCTAGACGGCTATAGATGCATAATCTCGTACACCATCATTTCCTACTACTTTTTGAAGCTTTGTAATACATAAAGCACTACAATTCGCCAATTTCCATGCCTTCTTCGACATTTTTGTATTATTCTGTACCATAACTCAACTTGTTTTCTCGATACCTCAAATTATCGTGAACTGTGCCTTTGATGCTGCGATTGCGAGCTTAACGACTTCTGAATCTCTTAGTTGGACTTCTGTGCCAATTCAATAGAAGAATCAAAGTTTACATCATTGATTTGGCTTGCTGTTTTCTCACATCAAGTATTCACACAGTGATAATGCTTAATGGTTGGAGCGCATTGGATCGTCCATCATTCGGGGCAGTCTGTACAACAAATAATCTCAGAAACATCGATTATAGCGACATAACAAAGCCATAAAGCCACGGAATAGCGGAGGCGACACTGTAAGATGCCCAAAGTGATTCATCTTTTTCGTTTGACAAACATTCTGAAGTGATGGATTTCACTTTTTATCAATTTTATTTTGTTTGAAATTGTACATTCTGATTCAAGATTGAATACAATATAATGCATTAGTAAAAGCCATTAAATAAACAAATGAACGAACGAATAGTGAATGTCAGTGCAATGCCAACGAGAAATGGCGACAGCAACGTTAAACGTTAGGAATGTGTCGATTAGCTCTGATTGGCGGAACGTGCGTACCCCAACGTGTCGATGAAAGCTGTGATTGGCTAATAGGCGAGAATAACGTAACAGGCGTATATAATGCCAGGAATATATCCGAGAATGGTGAGCAGAATACAGATCGCTAAGTGATAGTCGCAACCCTTCTCGAAGAAGACACCGAGTGGCTGAAAAAGCACTTCATTCAAAGATGCAATGAACAAAAATCTAAAACTTTCTCATTTTGTCATTATAAATGGGAATAAATGGGTAGCCAGCCGAACAAGTCAGTGCTTCTATCCTCCCAGAAGAGTCTGGCACCAATTAACCGATCCCGGAGGGACGGAAGACTTGGTTGGCCTAAGCAGATATCACTCCGGGATTTGATCCGGTTACCAAATGGTCGCGCATACCTTCCGTGAATCGAAAATTCAAATGCTCTCTGCAGCAATAAAATTTAAAACAAAGACGTTCCTGGTAAAATTAAAAACGTTTCGAAATGTGCATTCACCTTGGCCTTCCATTCAAAATCAAAATGACCTTCGAAATTCGGGTTGTATTATGAATTGTGGAATCTAATCGAAGATTAGCCCACTATTTTTGCCCTCTCGCAAGATCTAGTTAGCCGACCAACTGGCTGGCTCGAAGAAGATTTGGCGAGGGTGGGTGGGATTCGATTACGACTCCTTCTTCGAACTTGTCGTGAGGAGGATAAGTATCAATGCAACCTGCCGTAACCACCTAAAATGGTAAAGGATGAAGTCTTCTGGCGTTAAACAATCCCTTCTAAGGGATGCGCCCCGCACTCGACTTCGATTCAGAATCGTAACGGCGTATTGATTGCGTATTCGGCTCGGACAATGACTTGCAATGGCCAACTGATGTACAAGTCAGTGCTCCTTAATCCTCCTAGACAGGTCTGGCGCCATTTAGGCGACCCTGGCCTGAGCGGATATCGGTCCAGGGGTTCGAGCCCGTGACCATGCATGTGTGATATTGCGCCACTTGTAGCTACACCACCTCTGCCCAAGTTACCCGATTGAATAGTTGTAGAGTTGTGACAAAAAAAAATAATTCAGGAGCCAAAAGAGAAATTTCAATAGAAAATCTTTATGCAGTTCATCGTGATTTGCTAAGCGAGCAGTGACGTAAATGTTGAAAAAAATACAAAATAATTTTTTTCCAGTTCATTACAAAAAAAAAACGAATAAAGCTCTGAATAGTCTGATAATTAGTAAATGAAAAAACATACCGGTAGAATAACGGCACAGATGAATTTGGGCAAATCAGTGCAGGTAAGTGCCATTGTGAATCTGAAAATTGGTTCATGAACAATAAATAGTTCGACTAGCTCACCGCAGGTGCAGTCCTTTATAACAGCGCAGTTCGAAGGTGATCGTTGATCATTAGCGATCAAACAACACGACAACAAGAAAACAATCTTGGCGATCGGCTAGATATGTGTGAAGTGAAAACACTTAACAATAGAGTGGTCCATGAATAATTGGGAAGTTGACATGATAACGAAAATGAAAAAGGTGAACAGAAAAACACATCTAGCAATCAATCAGAGTGGAAGAGCCGACATCTCGGAGACTTCGGAAAGTGCAGCGTCCAAACTGATTAAATCCTTTGCTTTACACCCACTTTGATATGAGAATGGCACCGGTGTTGGGTAAAAAAAAACTGGGAAGGGGTAACAATTAAACATTAAGTGAGTCTTCCACACCGGCACCAGGGTTGGGCAAAAAACTGGGAAGGGATAACAATTAAACATTAATTGAGTTGCCCACACCGGCACCGGGCTGGGCAAAAAAACTGGGAAGGGGTAAAAGTTAAACATTGACTCATACAACCCAGTGCTTTTTTCGTCCTAAGGCTGAGATGAAAAACTCTCTTTTCTCGGCCAAGAAACGTTCCGTAGCACCCCTATGGGCGTGTGAAGTCGGCTATCCCTTCTTTTCTGTGCTCTAGCGTCAGTGTTGGAAAAAGAGGTGGTCACCCTACCACAGACAGTGTTACCGTCTTGGATGCGGGGCTATATACCCGATTTTTACCCTTGTGCCGTGGCTATGTGTAGTACAATGGCCTGGGAAGTTGTGATATTTCTGTGTTATCTGGAATTGCCGGTTGAGGAACCTTCAAACCTGGCATGTAAAACTGGGCAGCCTTTTCTCCCTCAAGAACTTCAACTCGACGTACCGTAGCCATACTGGTTATGATATGATAATATAAAGCCCCAGACAGCTGTACTGCAAACAAACTTGAAGTGAATTGTAAACGATAACCCACAATAACGTAAGGGATAAAGTCTTTGGGCGTTTATCAATCCCGTCTGGGTAATGTCCCTCTGCATTCGACTTCCATCCATAATCGAAGTGACGTATTGAATGGGCTATGGAAATGACTTGCGGTGGCTAAAC